GCCCCGAAGTGTAAAGGATAAGTAAGACGTACCTTTCTGCAAACAGAACATGTCAAAGCCTCTAGTGTTCTGTTACCTCTCTTTTCACTAATTTTCCTCTTCCATTATTTTTCCCGAGGTCAAGATTTTTATTTCGTCATGCTTAGCTAACAAAAAAATTTCCTTTTGTTTTGTACTCAAAAGGGAAGCTAACCTAGTTCAGTAATTTGTTCTCGTCCCTTTCTGTCGCACGCTTTTTTTTGTGTGTGTGTATTCTCCGGAGAGTGTGTTGGTAAGCGCGGTGAAAAGAACAGCCAGTGTTTGTGTCTTCCCATATTGATCCACGCCATAGAACTGTACCAGACCCGGCTAGCCACCAGGATCCGCCCACTGCCCCAATCCCCAGGACCCCCCACCCCAACACAAAGAAGTTCCTTTAAAAAGATCTGTCCTCTATTTCAAAAACTATGTGGTATCTCATGAGTAATGTCTCTGCCTTGTTCAGGTCGTTCATGGATGAAGTCTATATGTCGTTTCATTTATCATAATTTCCCTTATTTCCATCTCTGTTCTTAACAGCCCCACAAATCTGTAATCTGTATGAATTAGTACGTGTTAGATCAGAGTTATTCCTCCAGGAGCGCTGGATTCGACAAGTGTTCGGACATTGCAGATTTCTTGCTGTAATTTTCACGAGTCTCCGATTTTCACCTTCCGTTCTTTCATAGCCGACGATGGTGAGGATCATCATTGTCTAACACACTGTGTTGGCTGCACAAATGCTGTAGCAGTCATATGATTGTTACTTCTCTTATCGACATAATCAAATAAAGAAAACTCCGTGACCTATAGTCCGGAAGCGAACGGTACCGAACGAGCGACTGCCGCATGTCGGCGTAGTTAGTGCCAAATTTAGCTGATAGAGGGTGTCGCGTAGTCAGCGCAACGGATCCCCACGGCCGTTAATCTCGGTTTTCTAGCCCGGAGCCGCTATTTCCTTGAAATAGCTCCTCAATTATCCTCACCAGGCTGAGTGGACCCTGTTCCAGACCCGCTACTTCTCAGAAAATCTGGCAGCGCCGGGAATAGAACCCAGAACCTCTGACCACTAGACTACAGAGGTGGTCCTTATCGACATAATCACGGATGAAAACTTTCCCATGTCTTCCTGTCGGACATTACGGATCTTTTTCTCTTTGGTGTATATTCGCAAAACAGTTTCAGTTTTAGTTATGAGGATTTCTTGATTCTTCACCCTGTTTTTACAAGCGATTTTGAACCGCAGTAACGAGCCTACTATACGAGACTCTAATCTTAACACTTGCGGTGTGAGAAAGATATAAAGCACAAGAGGACGAAACAAGGGGAAGGGACGGAAACAGAAATTGTTAATATGTTATATAGTAGCGTTGCACCAGATCAGAGCACATTGGCTACTGTTGTACTACTGCGTTTGTACAGCCATTGCCTAGTAAGCGGTGAATATTTCTGATAAGATAGTATTCGCTGGTCTGCGTTGTCTGCCACGCGTTTAACGGTTCGATCTTACGGAATCCTCTGGATTTCAGTCCGGTACAATAATCCTTGACATTGTACAACCCTAATTTTCATTATCTAAAAACTCTTATAATTTGAAGAAGGATACTGTGACATGACGCCTGAAAGCCAGAATAGTCTATTGCTAGAAAACGGCTCGCGAAGACACGTACGTGACAACGAATAGGCACGCAATAATACACGAACTGTTCGGGGACACGTGATTGATTCGAGTGTGATTCCGTGTGGAGGTGTGGTCGAATACCTCCACCGTGACCCTGCGACTCGTAGGAGGAGACGAAGAAGGAAGTCTCAAATCTGAGGCAGTAAAATATTGTCGCGAGTCTCAAGGGACTCGGACCCGAGTAGCGCTAGCAAAGCCAGCAGCATATAGAAAGGATAAACCCGTCCTCTCGTCAGAGAGGGCGCCCCACATCAACAAACCCGCAACGGTCTGACAGTAATAAAAATATGGTCGTAAGCCACAGATGGGTGCTTTATTCCAAGACAGACTGGCCGACTGACCGTTGGTCGTAACATAAGACTCAGATTCGAGTGGTCACTGATTCAGTCGTAAGAGAATTCAGAAGGCAGTTCAGTAGTTCAGTGTTCAGCTGTGGAGTGTTATTCAGCGGACAGCGGAAGCTGAAGAAGTGATCAGAACCAAGTCAGTCACAGTAGAAGAGAAGATACTCGTAGTCCAATAAGGAATGGAGCCATTGATTGTGAGATATTATAATTGATTGTAATTATAATGGAAGTACCAATAAATCCAGTCATCCAATCCAGAACCCATTATTGTTAGTCACGGATCCCCGGACACATGACAGTACGTTCCCGAAAATGTCGATGAACATTACAAGAATAGATGTCATAATGTCACAGGAGGCAGTTGTCTTCAACAGTTAACGGATATATCTTCACTATATTTGTAAAAAATAGTTCATCGAATAGTTTAATGTAAGTATCGGGCTATTTCTGAACTCATAAATGCCCTATACGTATTTTTAACCAAGCGTTACCCTCATTCAACTTTCATTATTGGATATTCTAAAAATGTGGCTCAAATTATCTGCTAATCAATTTGTTTTTTCAGAGGAATATAGCATGAATAATGAATACAGTAATTACATTGTGAGGGACTGTGATGTCTGTGATTAGAATCGAAGAAAATGTGTGGAGCCTACAATTAGTAACACATTCAGTGCAATTCAGTACAGAGCGGACCGATATGACCGCCACAGAAAAGAGCGACTTATTTTGTTCAGTTCTGTGAATCTTTTGGCTCACCAAACTAATTTATAAGTCACATTAATGTCGTGGCTCTTAAAACTTTTCTAATTTTTCATCTGTAATTCTTTTTAAGAATGTTTGTTATAAGGAAAAAATTCGTTGTCTAGACTCGAAGTATTCTCTTAGAAATTAAAGTATACAATTTAGTGAAAAATCAATGGTGGAAAATTTTCGTTTCACGGAGCACCAGAACGTCATGTCGTTCATTGCGGAACGCCTAGAAAAGCTTGATTTCAGTGTTGGAGCACGTGGTCAGTCGAACCCTCAGAACACTGGTCTTCTGCTGGAGCTGGGTTTGGGAATTACTTCTCTGGATAATTGAGCCTTTCCGTAGCAGATACGTGGTATAGGTAAAGTTGTTTCTCTACTTAACTATTAACTACTACGTCATGAAGACGTATGTGGGAGTGGATGTATAGATCCATTTATTCTTCACCTTATTATAAGTAGGAACAAATTGTTGGCTGACTGGAACTAACATTGGTATTGTCAGATGTAGGAGGGTGAGCGTGATTTATAAGACGGGTCTGGATTGGATAATTGGATTTATTGACACCTTATTCACACAGTTCGGGACTACAGGCTTTGTGTTTTCCTGGAGGACTGTGGAATTCTCGAATACCAGGAAGAAAACTTGTTGCTGTTGGAACAGACATGAGCAGTATTGCAAGGGAAAGGCATGGTGATGACGATGATGATGACATTGATGATTATATACCGGTAACGACTTACATGCCGGTCACGGTAGCAGAGCGGTCTAAGGCATGCACTGTCTTCGCTCGCTCGGAAGACGGGATCGTGGGTTCGAATCCCACTCAGGGCAGGGATGTTTGTGTGCGTTTTTCTGTGCTTGTCTACAGGTAGAGGCCTTGCGACGAGCTGATCACTCGCCCAAGGAGTCCTACCGTATGTGTCAGATCTAGTAAACCGAAGTGAAACGAAGAGTTTCATGAAGGTAGGCCTAGGCCCAAATTTGGGCTGTAGCGCCACAGGAAAAAAAAACGACTTACATACTTAATTCACAGATATTGATATAATGAAAAAAAATTTACGAATCCTGTGACGGTTACGGTCTTCTGGGACATGACGCTTCTTTTATCAGGGTAGAAAAATAAACTTGTAGCCTGAAGATGGATGCAGCGGTTTCTTCCGAAATGATGATACCTATATAACTACGTCCCGGATTTTGATGACCTGAAAATATTTTAGAAATGAAATATAAAATGACCGAAAAAATCCAGAAAAATGACCCAAAATATAATATGCAGGGCCCGGATTTTCATGACCTGAAAATATTAAAAATCTGACCTATAAAATGAACGAAATATCCTGAAAAATGACCTAAAGGAGAAACGAAAGAACACTTCGCTCCCATGTTATTCACATTTCAGAAAACATATGAAGAAAAATTCCCTAAAATGGCCAAAAATGACAAATACCCTTAAAAGTACAAAAATTTACCAAAAAATTACCCCGAAAGTGAAAAAATGACCTTAAACCTAAAAATGTCAAAAAAATGACAAAAAATCACCTATAAAATTTACATTTCTGTAACCAGCAGCTCACATCCGAGATTTATATATTTAAGAGCATCGCATAGGATACAAGGAAAAAAAGATGACATGTCATCAAAATCCGTGCTCTGTATATAACAAAGAACACAGCATCATATGGGGTTCGAGGTTCTCACAGATGTTACGTAGAGTTCTGTATCATGGGATATAACGCCTTGTAGTCCGTTGAAAGTCAACCGAGATGTTTCCGAAGAACTTGGCACCTCCATCTTCAGGGTCGAGGAATAAGTGAAGCGAGGAATCGGCTCTGCTTGCTACCTACTTCATACTGGTTTTTCCCTTGGCTTCTACCCTGAAGATGGAGGCGATAAGTTACTCCGAAACGTAGATTGACATTCAACGGACTACAAGGCGTAATATCCCAGAAGATACACGCTTTCAGGTCCCTGAAGATGTCAATCCTGGTACTCATTTCCTAGAGAACATATCATATAAAATTCTTATTTCATATTTCGTGAGGAAATTACTCACAAACTCGAGCTCTCCTTTTGCCCAAGTAACAACCAGATTACGCCACTGAAGCAGACCACACGCCACGCTGTCACTCGCAGGTGTCACGTGATTGTGTGTCTAAACAACTCTGTACAGAAACTAACGCGCCTGTTCCTTGTTCCACAGCCGAGGTGAAACGGGACCACTGCAACAAGACAGTTGACATCTATGAAGATGTCTCCAGCCCGGAAGTGACACCAGAGAACATAGGGAAGCCGATGACGTGCTGGTATCGCTTCAGATCCTTCCGTGGCACTCCACGCGACTGGATTCTTCGCATCAGGTTCAAGAAGTTCAAAGTTGGTACCCTTGTGAACGCAACCCACTGTCATATGGGCTACATGCAGGTTAGTAGCAGTACTGTATATGCGTAAGGGGGGCAGGCATCCAAGATATCAGATTGTTCGTATAAACACCAACAGACAGAACAGAATTTTGTCTCAAGCATATCATAAGCATCCTTATTTTACTGTTTAATGCTCATAATTGTGTACAAATATGTATAACTGAATGGTTTCTATATTCATTTGTTTCGCCAGTCCATAACCTCTTAATACAAAGGAATAAGTACTGTGTTATGATACTTGCATTAATATTTCTTGGTGGAATGTTTGAAATTTTTTTTTCCAATCCTTCTAATTAAAATTAAGCAGACTCAGAAGGCTTAGAGTGGAGTTATTAGTAATATGAAACTCATCGCTAGTTGTTTGTAGTTACGACCTAGTGGTCAATAAATGTATTCCCAATTCATACCCCGTCTATAGTCACACATGCTCGAGACAGTATAAAGCCTCTAATATCGTGACGTTCATATCACATTTAATCGAAATCCATTTCTGCAGTTCCACTAGCTGAAACATTGCGAGAGTAAGACAGAGAGACTGTTATTTTCTCATTTAACCGAATAAGATGGTTGAAGATATAGCGTTTCTTATTTATATTCTGGACATGCCCGGTTCGATTCTTGGTCGTGACACCTACAATCATGACCGGGGATTTCATGAGCTTTTCAGTCCCTTCGCGTAAATTCTGGGATGGTAAGCTGCAATAGGCCACTACACCACACGTTCACATCCCCCTAATACGATGAAAATTAAATTGTCCCTGTGCTTAACTAATTAAGCAATACGCCATGAAAACGTATAGGGGGGAGTATACATCGTATGTGTAGATCCATGTATTCTTGACCTCAGCACTACTTGGAGATGAGGGTTCAGCTTCACGCCTCGGCCTCTTTAAACTCTGCGAAAGAGCCCGCTGTAACTGTTGGAAGTAAGACCTTCCAAATTTAATATTATTCAGTAATTTGGACGTTACGTGTATTATATTTCAACATCCCGTTGCATTGAGGTATTGTCCTTATTATCAAAGCACCCGTCAGTACTGCAACAATATTTTTTTTTAATATAGAAGACATCTAGAATATGTTTCTCACTAATCTTTTTTTTACTGCTAGTGGGGTGGGACTAAGTCTCTTGTACTGCGGCCACTTCCGGCCTATTGTAGCAACCCCAGATGATAGGTGAGGGTGATTGTGGAGCAATTTGTGGAATGATGATTGGAAGTACTCGGAGAAAACCTGCCCCAGAGCCACTTTGTCCACCACAAATCCCACTTGACTAGACCCGGGATCGAACCCGGGCCGCCGCGATTGGAAGCCAGTGACTAACCGCTTGAGGTATGGGGCGGCCCTTCTCACTAATCATACCAATACACATTATGCATTGCAGTTCTGTGGCCGCAAAAAAGCATAAGGACAGCGCTCTAGTCGTGAGATAAAAACGAAACAATGACGATAGACAAGTGAAAGGTGCAGTGGTCTCCCCGAAAACAAAGGGAAATTACCTGATAATGGCCCATGTGCAGCCGAAATAAGTTGCAAAATGAGATGAGATATATGTAAAACTAGAGGTTTCACTTTTAACGTAGAAGTTATACTTTTAATATCTTAATGGCGTTTTATAATTTTAACAACACCGTAAAGTATTAAAGTGACACTTTTAGTGAGAAACATATTTTAGATGTCTTTTATATTAAAAAAAATACTCTTGCATTATTGACGGGTGCTTTGGTAATAAGGATACAGTTGTATTATGTGATTTAGTGTCGTTGAACGAACTACAGATACAGACCCAGCAGGCCCAGCAGTGTAACACACGCAGTCACAGGAGCAAGACACAACACAAAGCACAATACACACACGAAAGTAGGAAGAATACTCCGATAGAAGAAGATAGGTGTGACTCGCGTATTGAGATACGACATAAGGATGACAAATCCTGAACAGTTTTAATATTTTTAATATTTAAAATTTATCAATATATATGACGAATATATATTTTAGTATAAAGACAACAGGGCATGCAATGAAGTAGTTTGACATACATCGAAAAGCACCTGAAGATGGCACTTTTGTTCTGAAACATGTAGTGCAAGAGAGAAGAGTAAGGTGAATAAATGTATGCACTGTAAGACGCTTAGAATAAATCATGGACATATGTATATATTGTCTCATGGTGCACGTGGTACAGCGAAGGTGCAAACCTGTCTGACATGTATCAGGAAGCATGGTGTATGCGTGTTAGAGACTGACCCTAGGCATGTGTGTGAACCTGCTTTGCTATCCGGCCACACGGCTGCTCGAGGTTCCGTCTGCAACGTGAATGCTCGTTCATAGTTGCCAGAGGTGACGTCAGTGCATTGGTTGTCCGCATTGTTCACAGAAGGATTCATGAACTCAGAACCTCCGAGAGCTATGCATTTCTGTAACCCTGCACTTGACATGCTTAATTAATTGCTGCGACCTTCTATGACGACTGGAAACCCCCGCCACTAATCTCAGTTTTGCTGTCTTATTCGAGAGGTCACGAGATCGAATATCGCCTCGGAGACAAGCTGTCTTCAGTGAGACATTTCGTAATGTTTCTTATTCCCTGCAAACGAAAGGACTTGTACTTGAGTATGCACTAATAATGATCTCCCTCGAAAATATTGTTAGGTAAAGGGGGTGTGCGTGACTTGTAAGACGGGCTCTATATTACATGATTGGATTTATTGACATTTTAGTCACACTACTCGGGACTACAGCCGATATAGCGCTGTCGCTGATATTTGAAATTCACAATTCAACGTTACAGACGCACTAGGGTTCTCGGTTTTCCCTAGTCGTATCCTGCCAACGGATTTATAACAGTCCCACTGTCACTTCAAATCACATATGAAATTTTCTTTGCACAGTGTAATTCCATTCTTGCTATTTCTTCTCAATCACCTTAGACTGCCATCTCAAAAACTCGACCCATTATTTAATAACACCTAACTCAAACGACATTCTTTGTTCCTTTATAACTCCTCTGCACGGAGAACGCAGAAAACAGCCTGTATATTGTTGAGAATGCTTGTTTACTGCTACATTGCCTAGCAATAGACTTCATATTGTTGCGCGCGCGTACGTTTCTGCGGGAATGCGTTTACCGAGTCGTTGCTTAGCAATGGATCTATACGTCATAATATATAATCTGAACCACCGATAAAAGTCTTTAAATAAATCAGAAATAAACGACGCTTCCTAAAATTTTGACAAGTAAATCGACCTGTTGCTGTATGGGTTTTGCAGTTCCATAATTCTGGTAGTCTAGGGGTAACGTTCCCACCTCATGACTCAAGGTACGCGGGTTCAAACCCAGCGGAGGTAGTGGAATTTTTAAGGGCGGAAAAATTCAGGGAACAAGTCCTCCGGGAGGGACTTTAAGCCGTGGGTCCCGTGTCGTAGATTTACGGCACGTAAAAGATCATGTGTCTCTAGGAGACCTATGAGCAAAATTAGGCAAGTTTCCCGCCCAAGCAGTTTCCAATGCCTCTGGTAGATGGGGGAAGCATCAAGGTACCGAGGGCCGTCTTCGTTGGCTCAACGGGGCTGATAGGACGCACCAGTACCGGCAGGGTATGGCGACAGAGAATATCAAAGGGGGACGTACAATAGTTCAACAACTGGTCGCGGTGCATGGGGAAACCCACCCCCTCCAATAATAATAATAATAATAATACTTTTTGTTTCTTTATCCCCATTCCTGGCTTGGTTACGAGGAGAGAAGGAACTGGAGTTTGTAGTGTAAAGGCGGTTTACGTCCACGGTAATTAATAAAATACGTAAAGCGGTAATTCTATGGCACTACATCGGAAAATATAGAGAAACAGATTTATAAGGTTGTCATAAAAGTTCAAGCATTTTGGTTTGTAGTTACATTGCACTTTATTTGAAGAAAATTCGAAAGACGAATGGGCCCTTTTGCTATACTTCACAGTTCTGGGTAAAGCTATCTTATCAGCTGATAAGTACGGAACCACCAAATTCACCTGCGCCACAAACACACGGATGCCCGATTTGTAGAACAGTTGCTTTTACCAGTTCCCACTTTTTTACCTTATCCTATGCCCAACGAATACGATCCGCGACTTCATTGTCCATTTATTTAAGATTTAGTAATAGTACCCCATCTATGCCTATGTCTAGCACGCAGTCGCTTTCCTTCACTTTTTCGAACATAGTATAAAAAGATGTAAACAAAGAAATTTCGCCCTAGGACGAAGTCTCCGTCCACTTACATTCCGTGCTGATGGAGCAGACTTGATACAACTTTCCGTGTTTGTTCCAGTTTATAGTTTCTTGAGACATCCACAAAAAGTTTTAGTGTGTTTCCTTCTACGAGTTGTTTGTTTCTGGTCACAAACAAGTCCTTTATACGGTTTAATAGCTCTCTCCATAGTAAACCTCAAAGACAATAACCCTGTACTATTAAGTACAATAAAATGAAATTAATTACCACTCCCTTTTGTAGGATTTGAGGTTCTCACAGCGGTGGTTATCTTCTGGGATATAACGCCGTGTAGCCTGTTGAAATTCAGCCTACGTTTCGGAGGAACATATCGCTTTCATCTTCAGGGTTTAGTAATAAGCCATGCAAGAAACGAGGATAAAATCAGAGAACTACTTCCGTTATAAAGATATACATCGTACTAAGATTATTTATATTTCTATGAACAAATTTGGATTCTACAGTGAACCTTTTATTAGAAAACTTTTCATTTTGGCTATTTGTAATGGTTAAAAATGGACATTTCGAGACATTTGTAGCTATTCTCCATATATGGAGGCTGTCTCTCCCATCCAGACCACGAGGCAGTCATGTAATGGTGAAAGAAATGCATTTCAAGATCCATGACATCAGAGGAACATGTGACGTTCAAGGGAATGAAGGACATTAATGTACATTTTCATCTTGTAAACCGGTTGTTTGTTTTAAATATAGCCTATATGGCAGGATAATTTTTAAATTCGATATTAGAA